TCTCTTCGCTTGCAGATTTCTTATATTTTTTCTTCTACCCTGAAGATGGAGGCGATACGTTCCTCCGAAACGTCGGTTAACACCACATATACACGGTGCCAAATCCCAAAAGACTGCTTTGTTCATAGTCACCGCCGTGAAAGCCTCAAATCTTACATGGACCAAGATGTTAAAGTAGCTCTGAAGATTACACAAAAATGGTTTAACTCTAATAGAATGCTATTAAATTAGTGTAAGACTAATTTTATGCGGTTCTATCCAAATACTAGTCGTCGGACTTTGGATACTATTGAATTCAATAATTATAAAATTAATTCTACTTAATTCCATTAAATTGCTGTCTCATCACCAAAATGCAGGCCAAAATCATGACATAAAGATAGGAAACAGATGTTTTGAAAATGTGGCACAGTTCAGATATTTGGGAACAACGATAACAGATCTAAACCTGATTCAGGAGGAAATTAAAAGGAGATTGAACTTGTGTAATGCTTGCTACCATTCAGTCCACAACCTTTTGTCTTCTCATCTGCTGTCCAAAAACATAAAAATTAGAATGTACAAAACTATAATCTTTCCTGTGGTTCTCTTTGGGTGTGAAACTTGGTCTCTGACGTTAAGGGAGGAACATAGACTGAGGGTGTTTGAGAACAGGGTGTTGAGGAGAATATTTGGACAGAAGAGAAATGAAGTGACAGGAGGTTAGAGAAAACTGCATAATGAGGAGCTTCATAACGTGTACTCTTCTCCAAGCATAATTAGAACGATCAAATCAAGGAGGGTGAGGTGGGTAAGTCATGTAGCATGAATGGGGGAGACGAGGAATACGTATAGGATATTGGTGGGAAGGCCAGAAGGAAAGAGACCACTGGGAAGACCAAGGCGTAGGTCGGTGAACATTATTAAAATAGATCTTAGATAGATAGGATGGGATGGTATGGATTGGATAGATCTGGCTCAGGATAGGGACCAGTGGAGGGCTCTTGTGAACATGGTAATGAACCTTCGGGTTCCATATAATGCTGGGATTTTCTTGAGTAGCTGCAGAATTGGCGGCTCCTCCAGAAGGGCTCAGCTCCACGAGTGCGTAAGTAAGTAATTCCATTAAATTGTTAGGTATTATAATAGAATCTTCGTTAAAATGGAAAGAACAAATTGATTATATAAATTCAAAGTTAAATTCGTTAGGCTACGTATTTGTTCCCTCAGACCTGTGTTAGAATTGAAAACCCTGAAACAGATCTACTTCTCCTATGTTTGTTCAGTGTTAAATTATGGCATCATGTTTGGGGTAATTTGCCACACAATAGATATATTTTTATAACCCAGAAACGAATTGTAAGAATTATCATGAAAGCTAAAGCAAGGGATTCCTGTAGGGAAATGTTTAGTAAACTTGGAATTTTAACTCTTTACTCCCAATATAACTTTTCAACTCTTATGTTTGTTGTAAAGCATAAGGATTTTTTCACAATAAATACTGCCTTGCATAAAATAAATACCTGCCAAAAATTGGACTTTCATGTTCCTTTAGTAAGTCTAACTAAAGTTCAAAAAGGAGCATATTATTCCAGTATTACCTTATTTAACTCTCTAACCCCCAATATCAAGCAAGTTGCACATGACATTAATAAATGTACACATAAATTGAGAATGTTCCTTACAGGAAACTCTTTTTATTCTGTTGCAGAGTATCTTGATAGGAATAATAAATGTGATCTTTGGGTATCCCAGTAATTGCAGTTTTGTATTTTAGTTTGCTTTCATTAGTCTCTTATATTTTTTTTTATTGCTATTTACCTTATGTAATATAGCAGTGTAATCTTCTGACAATTTCTACACGTATATCCAATTGTCAGGTACCTGAATGGATCAATGATTGATAAGAAAGAAATAAAAGAAGAAGAGAGAGGTGGGAGGGTGAGAAAAAAAGGAAGCAACAAAGAAAAAGAAAAATTATCTTCCATTTAGCCAACATAAATATCATCTCATTTTGTTTCAACTTTCATGCATTTGAATTCTTTTGTTTTATCTATATTTCCTGCTTCATTCAATTGTGGAAGTAAAGAGAATACTTTTGCACAGCATGATGTGTGTACCTGTGTGTGGGTGGCCCCTCCTCTGTCCTTGGCAGGAATGTCCCTGGCTTGTAACACTCGCACGGTCATCTTTCTCATTGGTGCATCATAAGCAAATGCTACTTCCAAATGACCACATTTGGATACAAGGTGACTTTCCTGGTCACCAAACGCACTCTGTAGATCAGTGACATCAAACAGCTGTTCCTGTGGCAGCACAACAATACACTACACTCAACAGTGACATCTGTCCTCAGGCAGTCTGGAGTGAAATGTACGAGATTCAGTTACGGTTATATGATCTTATACCTCAAAATATTACTTTGTCTGCTAATTTTCATGAAATGAGGCATTACAAATTGAAGCTTCCCTAGGTTATACAGTGTTAGTCCTAAGATTGCAAATTTAGACCTCAGTTTCCACAGTTAAGATAGGTATGGATGTATCTGTTTGTGTGAAAAATTTTTAGTAGTCCAAATTTGAATTGAACCATTTGACAGCTACACCCTAAATATTCTGTCCCATGTAGTTAGAGGCCTTGCAACATACTGAATAGCCACCCAAGAAGTCCTACTTAATGTCTATAAAGAACATTCTGAAACCTCAAAAATAGGAGGCCTTGGACCACATTGTTCTGTCAGACCACACAGAAAGAAGCAGTTGTGTAGTTTGTGAACACGACTTGCAGAACGTACATCCTGATTATTCATGGTTTCATTGAAGTGCTCAGTTGTGGAGTGAGGAGTTTCCTGCGTCTCCTCATCCATGGTGTCCACACTGCATTGGAGTGGCAGCTTGCGGTACCCAGCACCATTTCCGCCACGGCCATCTCTGTGACGCAGAGCCTTCTCTTTTTGCTGTTCCTCCTCTCCACTTGTTGTGGAACAACTGGAAGATGCACTACTGCTCCCCACTTTACCCTTCTCTGCCAGTGAAATGAGATCTGCACTCTGTGAAGATGAAGGTGACTTGCTCGTATCTGAAATAATAATAATAATAATGTGTGAGCCCTACAGTCCATGATGAACCTTGACTTGTGTTTTACAGTTTCTTAATTGTATAGACAATTGGTGGGACTCCTTGGGCAGGGGTTCAGTCCACCACAAGGCGAACAACACAACACAACACAACACAACACAAAATAAACACACACAAATATCCATGACTAGAGTGGGATTCGAACCCACAATCCCAGCATTTGAGCAGGCAAAGACAGTTCATGCCTTAGACTGTGCAGCCACTGTGATCAGCATCTGAAACAGTGGCAGTGATTATTAATGAGTGATGGTAGGGGGATATGAGTAAGCAATTATCAATCTACTTACACCTTTCTACTTGCATTAGAAACTATATGTATGTTGTATTATTTTGTCTGTCTTTGTTGCCTCAATAATAATCCAACCAATTAAAATATGTAGGATTTGAGGTTCTTGAAGTGTTGGTTATAAAGAGTTCTGTCCTCTGGAATATAATGTTATATAGCCCATTTTTTCAGAGGAACAGTCACCTCCATCTTCAGAATTGAAGAGTAAGCCAACTAGGAAGCCAGCGGCAAGCAAAGTTAACCGAGTTGTCTGCTGATTTTCAATGTATCCAGAAGACAACTCTTCAATTACTCATGGAACTTGGTAGAAACATCATACTATTAGTGATGCAGTTTTTGGTTTCATATTATCAATAATACTAACATAACAAAGTTACAAACTTCTGAGTTCGGAATCTTTTTACTGCCATATAATGAAGGGTACTGAAATTTTACACAGTAGAATTACTGCTTTATTTTGACTTGTGATTTTGCTTATTCTGTTTTTTGTTGTTTTGGTCTGTATATGTTCTTGTTTATGAAAAAACTGGTTTATTCCTAGGGATGTCCCTTGAGAAACTTGGATGTTGAGGTAATATAGAATTCAGAGCAAATATTCAGTGCTAACAGTTGCTGTGTTTTAGGCTCCAAAGGCTGCTTTGTCATTTTAGCTGATTGCTTTAACTGATTCTAATAATCAAACCATGAGGGGAGGTTTGGCAAGTATTGGATTGGTCACAAGCAAAATCTTTCCATCCCCTCCATAACATAGCTTATTTTTGCATTAAAATTATGAAGAATATTTTGTGCAACAGTATGCAACCCAAACAAATATCTGAAGGGCTCAGTTTCTTGATGTTATGGGCCTTTTCCTGTTGGGCAGCTCATTCTAGCATGATGATGTTTTTGTCTCCTTATAATACCACTTTCTTCAGTGTTTCATGATTGCCTATTTTGACATAATTTCATTCCCTCCTTGAGTGAAAAACAGGATGGAGGTTGAAAATAAGGAATTAAAAACATTAGGACCTATGAAAAAGGAGGAACCGAAGGATGCAGAATATCACATAATGAAGCTCTTCATAAGTTGTACTTTGCACAAAATATTATTTGGATGATCAAAACAAGGAAGTTGAGATAGGTGGGCTTTTACTGTTCATGGGAAAGATGAGAAATCCATACATTTCAGTCAGATAATCTGACGGGAAGAAATCATTTGAGAGAAAAAAGCATAGATGAAAAGATAATATTAAGTGCATTTTAAAGAAATAGTATGATAGCCGACAAATGACACAAACTCCATCCCAAGTGCAAACAATATATATTTATATGTCTTTGATCTTTCTCTCTTCTACACTACATGTTTCGGCCTTTAACGGCCATCATCAGGTGTATACTCTTACGTTACTGCCACACTGAACCCAGTCTAAAATTTAACATTTAAAAACACCTTGTTACTTTCTTCATTATTATCAACATCTACCTCGATATCTGTCTGGTATGTAGATTATTTTGCACATGTCAATTTTGGTTTTCCTATAGTAGCACTATAAAATCTTTAGTTATAATTTTAAAATCCTTTAAAATTTTCTCTAAATTTTAAATTTAAAATTTAAAATCGTTAGGGTTACTCGCCCTATGTCTAAAGTGCTGGAGCGGCTAGTTCTTGTTTCCACACTGTACAGGTGTTATTCTGTGTAGTCTTCCTGNATGATAGTACAAGGACTGGTTACATCTCACTTATGACAGGATCCCCTGGCATAGCTGTTATAAACACAAGAATGAATGTTTGGTTTTCATAAAAAATGTGCAATTTGTGATTATTAATTTGTCAAGAATAATTCTGCACCATGGAGTTAGAGGTGTAAATGAGTACAACAGAAATTGTGGATCTTATTTTGCAGCACACTGTTTCACTGTACACACAAGAAAGTCAGTTATTTCAACATAAAATTAGTGACTGTTCCTATGAAACCCTTTAGACTAATTAAAATGTGTTCAAACGAAATCTGTAATAAAGTTCATATGTGTAAAATACTGACTGACATATTGCCTATTCTGAATAGCTCAGAACAAGAAGATGCTGTATTGCTATGTTTTAAATGCACTTTGAGGTACTAGAATTTCAAGAGGACATATCAGCACATGGCTTATGCAGATGATGTTAATTTATTGGGTAGAAACATAATAATCTTAAAGATAACCACAGAAGCTCTATTAGAAGTTAGTAAAGGAGTACAAGTACTAAATGAAGAGAAAACTGAGTGTAGGCTACATCATGTGTCATCAACATACAAGACAGACTTATAATAAATTAGCTAATACATTCTTTGAAAATGTGAAAAAGTTCAAATATTTGAAAATTGACTTGAAAGGATTATGATGATGGTGTATACTGTACTTCTTTTGGCTTATTTTGGACTTCATCGTCCGGTATATAAAAGACAAAAGACCACAACGTTTCAGAGACAGATCCAGTCTCCGAAACATCATGGTCTTTTGTCTTTTATATACCGGATGATGGATGAAGTCCAAAATAAGCGAAAAGAAGTATTTGAAAATTGCTGTAACAAATCAAACTTGAATTCACAAAGACGTTCAGATGAGACTAAATCCAGGAAATTCTTTCTACCATTCAGTTTAGAATATTATATTTTCCCTAAAAATGTACAATCTGTAAACTTGTCTCAAACTCACTTCAGACTCACAGCCTGAATAAAAGATTACCTCCACGAATGAATAGAGCTGTAAAATTCAATAGCCTAATCTGTGAAACTGATATTCAGTCTAGTCTAATATTAAAGTCCTTTAATTTCTTTCTGTCACTGAATCCCGATCAGAACCCTGGCCTCCTCCAACCATAGAGGATTGATAAATTTGAGTGAGACAGGAAGTGGGAAGGACTCTTAGGTAGAGGATAATCCCATCATAATAACTGTGCAAATAAACATGCCCTGGTTGGGATTGAAACTCGTGATGACAGTGTATCAATGCCACCCATACAGTAATCAGCCGCAGTAGGCTGTGTCTTACGAGTAAGCGTATGTGTGGACTGCTGGTGGTAGAAACCAGAATCAGATGCATTGGAGGGTCCGGGCATCGGCTCCGGAAGCTGAAGGCGTCTCAGCACATCTTCCTCACTGTCGGAACTTGTCTCAGGCTCCTCATAAGAGTATGCTTTTCCTGCAACAGAAAGGACGGGACCTGTAGCACCGTCATGTAGATGTACTCTTTCCTAAATAAATCTACAGTATGGGATTAGAAATATAGCAGGCAGAGGTAAAGACTTCCCTCTACCTAAGCAACATGCTATGAAGGTTCATAGGTGATTGGAGGTGGAGCTCTACACATCATCCTGTTTTATATTGAAATTATAATTGAAGCCAATAGATACTTTGAAAATGTGACAGACTTCAAATATTCGGGAATGACAGTAACAAATCAAAATTTCAATCATTATATTCATATTAGGGAAATCATTTCATTCTCTTTGGTACTTGTTTGACATTAGTGGTGAGATTCATGGTCCGGCCACTATCCCTGCTGGAGAAGAGTTCCATGCACAAACAGAACAGGAAGGAGGCTACATGGGTCAGAGATACTACCTTGACATAGTGATGTAGAGAAAAATTTTGGCCTTGCTGGGAATTGAACCCAGTTGTTTAGATAATCACTTTACTGAGCGAGTTATCCTGGCTTTATGGCCAGGAAATAGAGAAGGAGACTGATAGAGAAACAAGTCTGGAAAAGTGTATTCCATAATGTAGTACACAGTATTACCAATAATTTTATTTGAAGTTTGCTAAGCTTGCTTAAATGGAAATAATGAAATGTAAATTAGTGAAAGTCTCTCATATTGTATTTTAACAGACTCTGTGAAGAGTTTGTGGGTACATGAAATTCTATTTATGGCCATATGTGAACTAGGCTTTATTATGGATCAATGTGGCTATAAATCTGAAATGCCCCACAACTTTTTGTGGAAGTATTCCATATCGAATTTCAGCAGTGTTTGTGAAAAGGGTTATGGGATACATGGAAAGGCCAATTTATTGCCTTAAATAAACCAGGCTTTATTGCAAATCTGTATGGCTGAAAATATGATTTGTCCCACAACTTTTAAGTGAAAGTCTCCTGTATTGAATATTAAGAAAATATGTAGAATGGTTCAGGCACTGGTATTAGATTCGAGATAGATACATGAACAGACAGGACCCCCACATAAGACGTTTTATAGTTTATGAAGAACTTGTAAAAAGGTTTAAGGAAGGACAAAACAGGAAGAGAAATGATGGAGCAGGGGAAGAGAACAAAGAGCAATCAGGAAATGCGATGAAGCAGTGGTAATAGATAAGTATACAAAGAATGATGTGATGAATGAAAAGAGAAACAGACAACGCTAATGAAAACTTTCCATAAAACATGATTGGCTTGTAGGCTGGGATGCAATTCGCTCATGCCAGACAATCTGCACAGTCAAAATGGTGTCGGGTCACTCGGATCTGTTGTGTGTGGTATAAAGGCTGCTGCCAGCCATGCAGGCTAATCCTTTCTTCTACAACAATGAATTCTGAATCAGTTGAATGGCTGCCCACACAAATGTGTTTGAGAAATATACCAATCAGCATATAAATATGAATAGGGCCTACCTGACTAACAGGGTTGTGTAATCATATTTAAAGGAACTAAAACAACGTATACATTAAATGGCAGCATGTATGAATCTTTGGAAATCAACTGAATTGAAAATTTAATCAAGAATGGTTGCATAATTAAGAACAAAATGAGCACACAAACAGCTCAGATGTAATTTGGAAATTAACTGTAAGAGAAAGGAATGGGGATAGATATTAAGATATGAAAGTTATGAGTTTATAGAAAATATTATGAGAGGCAGGAAGTTAGAGTAAATATGAAAATGTAGATATCATCAGGGAAACGCAACTGAAAACGTGGAACACGTGTAGTGTAAGTCGTTCACGTAGTGGGATAATAACAAAACCCGTTTGTACAGCAGTCCCTTGCCAACCTACTGCAAATGTGGCTATTAGCAAATTCAGAACGTTATGAGAAACTGGGGTTAGATAAATCTCAGCTTATCAAAGTCTGCTGCCTGTTTCTTCATTAAACACAAAAGTAATATAACATTTTAGAAAATGTTTCCAAGGCAGTGATTGTTAAGATTATGGTTTTGAGGATTGTGATGCCATGTAGTTTAGTGTGTGGGTACGGACTCCTTAGAGGAGCGTGCTGTCATCATCGTCATGACTGAAATGTTTAGTTTCATGAGTAGGACTGATTATTCAGGCAATAAATATGAAATATGGTCATGGAACCCAACGAAACGCCAAGCCAGTTGAAAGAAACTAAAAGAAAGCTTAAAAATTAGACATGGATAAACCCTGAGGAGCTCCAAGCAGAATTCTAAAGTCTATTTTCTTGTTGCTTGAATTTCTATTCCTGCAGATTGTTGTTACTTCCTGTCTTTTATGAAGAGCATGTTACCTAAATATAGATAATAAGGTAAAGTTGTCCCTTTGCTTAACTAATTAAGTATGGATGTATAGATCCATATTTTCTTGACCTCTGCACTAGCTGGAGGTGAGTGGTCAGCTTCACGCCCCGGCCGCTTTACCCCTGGGGGAAGAGCTTCCGGTACCCATTGAATAGGAGGTCGGATGAACCCCAGAGCCGGTCTGGATGACATGGAGAAGTGAAAATTCTTGACCCCACCGGGACTCGAATTCCGACCCCTCGGTCGTCAAGCCAAGAGCCCGTCGCTATACCGACTACGCTACCCCGGCTCACACTTAAATATAGATTAAGCATACAATAAATTTGTCAGATGCAATTTCAAAGTTTTGCACCTTCGCCGGATTTGTAATGGACTTACGAAAGATACTTCACAATAATTGTGTAGGCCATTCCGTTCCAAATTTTATATGCATACTCCAGTGGTTTGTTAGCTATCGACATCGTACTGAAGGCTAAAGAAAATTTTCTCATGGCCGCCAGGTTGTTATTTTACATTATAACTGAAAGCTTCCAGGATCCATTGTCATACTTTATTGCAGGATTCTAAACCGAGTGTCCGCCTCGCCTCATAACTTCGCACGTCAGCCGTGATTATGGGACATTAAAGGAACGACACTTTGAGTAGGAAATCCAGTGTCAAATCGTTCATAACAAATTTCGTGAAATCGGGTCAAATTTTGCAATTTGAAAGAGGGGACACAGATCTCATAAGTCTGTTTTTATTTCCTTAAGAAAGATAAGTAAGCTAAAAGATATCAGAAAAATGCGCAGTGCAGTTATGATCTGAAATCTAGAGAACTTGTTTCGTATGTTACTATAGCGCGCATTATGGACCGAGCAGCGGTCTGAGTGCTTGATGCAACTGAAAGCAAATGTGGATCTCTTGGTACGGAAGCCACCAATGCTTTACACGTGTAAACAAATACAATTCCATGAACATATAAGAAACCACCGTTGGCAAAGCTGGATACAAAAAGGGAACTGCCGAGACGGATGTTCTTGGCTATGTATTCCTCTTACTATTCTGTGATCGACCTAGGCGGTCTCTGTATCAAAACTGCATTTATTGTTTGGAACTCCGTTTCAATAAGAGATAGAATGTCTTAACTAGCTGAGAGACTATCAGTTTGTAAAGAATTTTGCTTCATAGCTTGGTTATATTTGTTACAATTAGTTTATTTTCGGAACTCAGGCGTGTTTGGGGGTTGGAATGCATGATGATGATTAGATACGGCTAATCTCTTCGACACTACCACACTCAACACACTCAACATAGTTAAGGCGATGAAACTAACGATGAGATGTACAAGACATGAAGAAAGCAGTCTTCTGGGATTTGGCAACGTGTATATGTGGTGTTAACCGACGTTTCGGAGGAACGTGTCGCCTCCATCTTCAGGGTAGAAGAAAAAATGCTTTTACCGGTTCTCACGGTCTCTTAGCTTGCAAATTTATATTTTTTCTTCTACCCTGAAGATGGAGGCAATACGTTCCTCCGAAACGTCGGTTAACACCACATATACACGGTGCCAAATCCCAGAAGACTGCTTTCTTCATAGTCACCGCCGTGAAAGCCTCAAATTGTACAAGAAATGAAGTACATATTGAAGAAACACGAAATGTGCACAAATATTTTGATGAAAAACTTCGTCGGAATAGGTCAACAACTTAGAAAGCGTAATATGTAACTGGATAATCGTAAATATTGTGAAGATTCAAGATGAACTGAACTTGGTCAGAAAAGGGGCCACTGGCTGCTGTAATGATAGCTTCGAACGTTTAGATTCAATAATAGTAGATGAGCATCTGCCCAAGTAGCACCTTAAAACACTTGGGAGATCTAAACGTAGATGGAAGTACAGTGTCAAAAAAGATCTCACAAATATAGGGTATGAGGTTGTGGAATAGATTTTTTTGGCTCTGACTAGGTTCCATTGGCCTGCTGTTGTGAAAGCAGTAATGAGTTTTCGAATTGTGTAAAGGAGGGATTTTCTTGACTAGCTGACCTACTTTTACCTTCTTAAGAAGACGCCTGTTCCATGGAATATATACTGCTAACATTATGACGTCACATTTTCAATACAATAACCAGAAGCAAATTGGAGGTCTGGTGTATTTGTTTGAATTTTGTAACACTGAAATAAGCATTAGATACTATAATTTTGAAAATGCGAGCAAATTCATGCACAAATTGATCCTATGAACATTATTTTAATTTACTTACAGAACAGGAAGTTGCTGATAAGCAAACTATAACCAAACTCTTACCAGACACTTTCACTGCACTTATACATTGACCGAACAAAAGCTGTTTCCCATTAAATCACTTAACAATAAACTTCACAATTATAAACACTTAAAAATGCAAACTGAACGTACTCTCTGTGCGCCGAGGGAACCCAGGGTATCTCTTCAGAAGATTGGAGAGGGAAAAACAATCGGCGAAAGGGAAACAGTACATTCTACAGCCTTCCAGTTGGTTACACTGCCATTAACTATGCTTCTTCAGGACAAAGTCTGTCTTCGAATGTGGCGCTGGCTAACATCTTGTACGTTTCCCACGACGAAATTCCGAGCACATTAACCGAAATCTGGATTCTTATAACCGGAAGAAAATTAGGATACAGACTTGCTTTTCGTATTCTGAT